AGTTTCCCTTAGACGTTATATAACATAGAAATTTTTTTTCCTTAACAGAATTCATGCAACATAGACTTGACTCCCTTTATAATAGTAAAATATCATAAATTCAAATTCATTTACAACAACAAAATAGAAAATATTTAATTAGCTCTAGTTACAGTAGCAAATAGTATAAAGTTGCACCATCTCCATCTTCATTTAGAGCAACTTCCTTTATAGTAGTAAAATCATCAAACTACATGGAGGATTAACATTTGAGCCAAAAATACTGATTTGACTGTAAAAGTAAAACAAATGAAATAAAATTTTATTACAAGTAAATTATACAAATAAAGTGAATATAAAAGAATGATAACTCTATCGAGCAAAAGCATCATCGGGTTTGTTGTTACAAAACTTTCTTGTGTCCCCATTTCATCGACTTTATGGGGAGATGATGGAATAGGTACACAATCAATATCATCATAACTTATAGAACTCTACAACATTAAATAAATCAATGAGTGAATATAAACTACTTGATCAAATATAAACAAATGAAATCTAATTAATAAACATATCATACTTGTCTTTGTCATGATTTCTTTGGATCCTTCCCTTCAACTTGTTTCCTTTTCTTTTTCATTTTAAGACTTTCCACCACTTGTTCCAACCTTGAAACTCTTCTTTTAGTTGGAGGACGACCTTTTCTTCTAGTAACTAAAGGACTTAAAACCTTATTTGCACCACTTTGACATATTTTGCTTGTCAACTTCATTATCTTGTGGTAAACATGATGCTTGTGTGGTGCTATTAATGACTTCATCATTCATGATCGATGATTTTAGCTCTTTTATGCAATCCATCACATGCTTATATTTTTCATCTTCAATTGCGACAAGAATAGAAACTTCACGAAATGCATCACACATTTGTTCACATCTTTGAGTTTCTTTACAAGACAAGAAATTATAACTACTTCTAATACAAGTATATCCACGTTCAAATCTTTTCTCCATCGAGACAAAATGTGTCTAGAAGGGATTTCACTCACCTTTTTTTAAATGAGCACCAAAAGAGCATGTCTACATAAAATTCTCCTAAATTCAAACAAGTGGCAATTGCATTTAGCTTCAGTGAGCTTCACACTCAACTTCATTGAAAGCAACCATGAACTTATCTTCGTTTGTCTCCAACTTTTACATCTTCTACAACTTCATACACAAAACTTGAATTTTCATCTTTTATTAGAGAATGATAGCAATAAAATTTTTCCTTTAATGCCCCTTGGAACTCTCTAAAATTTTCATTTGTATAAAGTCTTTGAAATTGTTTTTCCATCTCATAGTTACTAAGACATTCATACATAGAGTTAAAAGAATGAAAATCTGCTTCTTTCTCCTTCTCCATTTTACTTTCCAATGCCTTTTCATATTGTTCAACAAATACCTTCAAAGTTGTTTAGAGTTGACATATCCATAAAAAAAAACATTCATGCTTTCACTTCGTTGAGTAGTAAACATGCCTGCCCAAAATATATGTTTCACGTAGGAACCCAACGTTGTCTTTCTTTGTATGACCCCTCTAACCAGTCATTCTTATTGAGATCATAGGTGTCAATCAATAGTGACCATCCATTTTCAAACTCATTTTCATTTAAAGAATCATAAAAACACTTTGCAAGGCTTCCTTGATTTCTTCATATTTAGAATATCTCCAGAACTTTTCAAGAAGGCTTTTCATGATATGCCATAAACACCACCTATGCTTTGTATTTGGAAATACAATCACAATAGCATTTTACATGGCATTACATTGATCTGTAATAATGGCTTTCAGATGGCGTCCTGACATGCAATTTAATCATGATTGAAATAACCACACAAATGAGTTAGTGTCCTCTTTGCTCAACAACCCGCAACCAAACGATACAGATTGTCCATGGTGGTTTACTCCCACAAAAGGAGCAAAAGGCATGTCATACTTATTTGTGAGATAAGTTGTATCAAAGGTAATCACATTAACAAAAGATTCATATACAACCTTACTCCTCCCATCAGCCCAAAACAAGTTTCGTAACCGAGAATCTTCACCAACATCCATCACATAAAAGAAGTTCGGATCGCTCTGTTGCATTTTAGCAAAATATTTACAAACGGCTTCTACATCCCCTACACCAAGTCTTTTCCTTCTCAATTCATCAATATAATTGCGACAATCCATTTGATTAAACGTGAATTCTCATAACCTCATGCGTCTACAACAAGAGAGCAAAAGTTCTTGTTTGGAGCAATACATGCTTGATCATTTATATCAAGTCTCCTTTTCACTTCTCATTTAGCATCCTATAACATCTCAAATGACGTGCTTTCCCCGGACTCAAATCATGATCACGACTAAGCTCAACGGTTGTTATCTTAAAACTCTCATTTTACACCTTTTGAATCTTATTTTAGCTTGACATCTCGTTTTTGTCGAGAGCTTTGACGATAACAAAATTTTACTTGTTGATTCTTTTCTATGTGCTTTAGCACATGCAAAAGTGAAATGCTTTAAATTTCCATCATCTCCGCGTTTTCTTCTCGTTACTACACTAAATCCCTTTTTCTTTGCATAATTTGTATAAAATGTAAAAAACTTCTTCTTTGGATTGAAATACCATTTCTACCTTGGGTTCATTTAACTTTTCTTCATCATCCATGTCTACAAATATAACCAATAATAATAGGTAATGTTAGAAATCAATAGCATCATGTAAAGGGGAAAAATAACATTTTTTTTTTGTTTGTTATATGGATATGTGAATAAACTCATTTATTAAGAAAAAAATAGCATGTGATTTTGTGGATAATAAATACATAATGCTAATTGCGGTGTTCTGTATTCTTTCTCAGCAAATACAAAATTTTATAATTTAAAATATTTAAAATATAATTGAAATAGCATATACTGTAAATATACATAGTACTGAAGCGTTCTTTTATGTTCTTTAATGTTAATGGCTCTTAGGCTCTGTTTGATGTTAATGGCTCTCGCCTCTTTGGCTATATTTTATGAAATAATGAAATGGAGAAAAGCAGTAAATAATGAAATGGCTCTGTTTGCGCGCCAAATATCACTTTTCTAGGAAGAAGCCAAAAGACCAAAAAAAAAGTTGATGTGACGCAACCATCTCAAGGAGTTTATTTAGGGAGTATATTATTAGCACCTTAGCTTGTAGAATTTTCCCTCAATTATAGTCAAAATGTCAAGAACTCATCAAAGTAAACATCAACCTTATACAAAAAAAAACAAAAAAACAAAAAAACAAAAAAAAAACAAAAAAACAAAAAAACAAAAAAAGTACTTCAGTATTTGTAAGCAAAAAAAGAAAGAGAACAACAACAACACAAAGAGACAAATATACAATTGCAAAAAAACACAAGAAAAAGAGACAAAATTGACAAAAGAAACAAAACAACTGAAAAAAAGGAGTAAGAATGATGAATCCAAGAACTGAAACCTGGAAAGAAATTGTGAAACTAGGAAAACGTTAGAAATATAGAATTGGACTCGACTTCTGACCGACGTTACAACACCACTTTCAACACCGCAACCTACGAAGCATCAAATGCTACTACTGCCATAAACTTGGAAACATCAAAGCCTAGTGCTACCAAATACAAACATACCTGCAAAAAACAAAAAGAATTGGGTCATGAAAGATCAAATACAATAGGTTGCCATACCTCAATGGTGAGAAATTATTTCCACATTTAGTGCAATCTTTGGGTTAAAGAAAGTTTATTTAGACTAACGGAATCTAATTCCATGATATAAATGAAAGCAAATCTCATCACCTAGGGGAGATGAGGTAGAATTTTTTTTGTTTCCAGGTAAGTGGGATTCTACAAAATTGATTCAATTACATATTTATCCCTTTTAGTGCCAAATTAAAAGTCTCTTATAAATATAAAAAGTTGCCTCTCCCACCATTATGAAAGATAACAAGACTGTTTATTAAAGAAATTTGTCTTTCTCAACACTTTTTTACATACGTATTGTTTTATATTTTGAATATTCTTGTTGTGGAATTTGTTGGCATATAGTTACGTGATTTATTAACCTCTTAATTATCATTATATTTGTTTTAATGTTTGTATATAGCAACGATATATTAGAGATTTTTAAAAATATTCTAGGAAAGTTTAAACAAATCAAATATTTTAATTTTTTTATAGGTAATTTAATTCTTATATTTTTGGATAACACCAAACATGTTAACTAATTCTCCTTACATAGTTATTCTCAACAAATACATTTCTTGAAAATATTTTTCAAGAAATTTAATTGATAGGAAGTACCAAAATCCGTTTAAAGTTGACAACAAATTGTAAAATTTTCACAATATTTCCTTTTTTATATTATGCCTCGAGATGAAATGCACTAGAAAAGGACTTTTGGAAAATGTTTTCCGAGTTTTTAGTGTTTGGGTGCAGTAGGAAAATCCAGTCAACGAAAAACATTTTCCGTTGATTAGGGAAAATGTAAGAATTTTTGCGGAAAATGACTTACGCTAAATTTTGGCATAAGTCATTTTCCGTCAACACTCAAAACATGGTTGCCTTCGTTGCCGTCGTTGCCTTCGATTCCTCAGTTTCCATTCATTCCTATATTTTCCATAGTACAACCAAACACGGAAAATGAAAATATTTTCTAAAAAAAAAGTCATTTTCCAAAAAACATTTTTCAGAAATCATTTTTCTGTTTTTCAAATGGATCCTTAGCGTCAATCTAGAAACCAAAAGTGAATTCACTAACAATTGAAAGATTGAGTTGAGTATGCCTATAACAATGACCAAAAGCGTAAGTTTTTTTTTAAAAAAAAAATAGTTAATTGATGATTTTTTAATTACTCTAATATGCATGAACAGTTACTACAATGTAATAGGGCCAGTAATATTCAAAAAAAAAAAAAAATTACCCTAATATGCAAGAGTCGTGAAGTGAAACTCGAAAAAAATTTGCAAATTCCTGCTAATTTAAGGTTAAGGAAATTAGAGCAAACCAAACATTCTATTAGCATTGAAGAAGCAACTAATTAAGAGTAGTTACACAAAAGAACATTAGCTTAGCTAGCTAGCTCATTGGGCATGCATGCATTTCCTTCACAAGAGATCTCTACCTTAATCCATGCATAATCTCTTGGGAAGACATGTACCCATGAACCCATCCTGGAAAAACGTATCCCCCCCTTTCTCTTCTCCCAAACAAAGCCTAACATTACTTACACCCTCTTCTTTCCTATGATCCACCATGTATTGCAAGCTTGTTTGAAGAACGTCTTTCAGCCATTTCTCAAACAAGCTATTGAGAAACCCCCCACACCCCTGCAGAAGCTCCTCGATCACGTTTTCGTCTACCCATGAACTGTTCTTGTCTCCTCCCAGGACTTGTTCCAGGGACTGCTTAATCTTGGAGGAAAGCATGTCCTTTGCCTTTTGTTGTTTTGATGAGTCGCTGTTGAGAACCACCTGGTTCTTTATGGTTTCGAGGAATCCTAGGGGATCATTCACGCTGCTGTCGCGAGTCAAGTCGCTTGAGGAATCCTGGGTTTCCTCGTCATCATCATCATCCTCGGCTTTTATGTTGAGATCAAGGGTCTTAGCCTCCAAATTGATTCTTTTGTTAATTTGCAAATTGTCCCCCCACTGGGCTCTGCGCTTGAGATCTTTGTTGTTGGGTGTTTCATTTATGAGCAGCTTCATTGGGATTGTGTAATCCTCATCGTTATCCCTGTTAAACTGATAATCATCGTTGATGGTTAAGACGAAAACGGCTTGGCTGCAAGAAGGAGAAGGAATTCCATTGTGGAGAGTATTTGCTAGGAATTTTAGCAAGTGAGGGTCGGCGAGATCAACGCTCTCCACTAGAACAACAATCCTGGGATGATTCCTTATCCCCATTTCAAGTGATTCAACAGAAACTCCTTTCCTTCTTCTCATATTCAAGCAAAGAAGATGAGAAGAAGGGAGTATGGAGTGGGCTATTACACGAGCCAATCTCCGTTTCCCAGCCATATCATTCCCCCGGATTAGCACCCACTCCTGTTTCTTGCCGCTATTCTGGATCCCCATCAGTGTTTCGCGAATGGCGGAGAGCGAATCCTGGGATTGCCATGGCAGGTTTTCGTGTAACTCATTGCTGACCAAATCCTGTTCTGGGATAGGGGAATTCCCGAGTGCAAGAGAGATCTTCAGTACTTCCTTATCTTCTTCCCCCTCGGATCTGAGACTGTCCAGGTTTGGCTGATGATTATTGTTGTTCTTGGAATTGCTGAAACTGAACTCGATATGGCAAGATTGCTGTCTCCTGAAGCGTGGCACACAACTTGCGCCCAGATTGGACTTTACAACTGGAGAATCACACAACAAGGATACGCTATTCTCGTCATTAGCCCATCCTGGTGGATAGATTGAACCAGTTGTAGTGTATAACAAACCCTTCCCCTGCTTGCAAATTACTGGTGAGTTTCTGGTTTGATGGAGAAGACTCTCGCATATCCTGTTCCATTTCCTCCTCAATTCACCGCATTCATCCTGAAAATCAACAAACAAATATGGTTTTTAGTCATCTACTATAGTCATCTACTTTAATGGTTTAACCAAATTGAGTCATCTGTTATCATAGCTTAGTAATTTCATCTGTATTAATACTGATTTGGACTTTTTGTACTTAATTAAGTCCTTGACTTTAACGGTTTTATCCAATTGAGTTTTTTGTTAGGATAGTGTGGTATTTCACCTATATTAATACTCGTTTCAATCTTCGACTATAGTAATTTTATCCAATTTAGTCCTTTACTAGTCTACTATAATGGGTTTTTATCGATTTAATCCTTAATTCTAACCGTCGAGAACTCAAGTGGGTAAAACCATTGAAATCGATGACCTAAATAAACACAAAAAATCATTTTAGACTAAATCGATAAAAAGTCATACAGTCGAGAACTAAATTGGGTATTAACTCATTTGTATTTCATTATATTTGCCTAGACCCAAAGAACTAACCCATTTTCAAGAATTTATGCAACTATACTAGTTTATTATTATATGCATGCAGTACCTTTTGGTGAGGAGGAGCATGTGGGATGAGCCAATCAGGCAAGTGGGCTAAAGGCTTGTCTGAGCCCCCTTTGGTTTCAAAACTTTTCTGGTTTACTAATCCAGCAGCTTCTCTTGCATAGTTGGAGGTGCATTCTGGGCAACATGTGAGCACAACTTCTTCTTCCTTCTTGTTTGATTGGTTTTGTGGTACTATTGCCATCTTTAAATCTTGGAAGCTGCAAAACAATACTTCCACCATTCAATTACTTCATAAATTCGCAAAAACTTATGTGAGACCATCTCAAGTGAGACGGATTAGGATGAAAATGTAATACCCATATTAAAAAATATAATACTAATCAGATATAAAGTGTGAGTTAGAAAGTATAATAATAGTTTTGAGGAAAAAAGTATGGAGAAATATTTTAAATCAAATTTATGAATTTATCTATCTAAATATAAATTATTATTTATCTAAATCACATTGTATATAATAGGTGATAAAATTAATATTTTATTTTTAAGAAAGTGACGTACAATGGCTTAAGTTTTCAATATTGGACAAAAGCCCATTAAAATCAAGGTTTTCAATGTCTATATGTAGAGAAGTCAAAAGGTGCATTTTTCTTTTCAGAACTGTTTTTCTCACTTTGTTAGACATTTAGACCCAAAAAAAAAAAAAAAAAAGAATCGTGCCACCCTTCCATATAAAGTTAGAAGGTGTATGAATTTTTGTTTTTTTCAGACAAACTTTCACCCATTGGGTTAAATTAGTATTCAGAACTAAAAACAAAAGGGAATTTTTATTTATTTTTTTTTTGAAAAAAAAAAAAAAAAAAACACAAAATTAACTACAGGCAGGCTAGAAACTACTTTTAAAGTACAGCCAGTAACATATGTGTCTGCTTAAGACAGTAGCAGTGTAGCACGCTTCTAGCCAAACCTTTGTTTGTTTCAGACCATAACAAAAAAAAAAAAAACTTAACCTACGTTAAGGTCGTACCATGATTACATAAACACCCAACAACAAAAATGTCACTGAGCAAATATGATGATATGTTCTCAATCACAAAATAATGATAGTAACAAAGGTAATTTAATTACTTGGAAAGGCTTAAAGTTACCCTTTCAGTTCCATGCACTTAATTCTGTAAATTGAAATTCCTTCAATTTCATGGAATTAGAATCTTATACCTTCCTTGGTATTAATACTAAACTTAATATTTTATAAAAAGTTGAATTAAAAATAATTTCATCAATAATCAAATCAGACATATAAAATGAGACGGAAAGATAATAATTATTACCTTGTGGTAGCATTGAGGGTGAGAGATAGAGCACCGGCACCGGAGGGAACAGAAACAGGTTGAAGAGCCCAGAGAAGATCAAGAGGAGGTTGTCTCATTTGACACTTAATATAGGTTTGAAAATTTGCAGTTCCGACCAACCAAACCTTAGTACACGAAGAAAGCAATCTCCCAATCTCGGCAACCAGGTGGTCTACCGGGTTGTACGCACAAGTGGAGGCGGCTGCGGTGTTGTCCACCGTCCACTTGAGATCCCCAGTATAGATAATCACTCCCCTCCCGCCGCCGGCGAGGGATTCCACTTTCCTCTTCAGCTCCGCCATGTTGGTCTCCACCTCCTCCCTCCTCATCAGCGCCAGCGGGGCGGCGGAGAACTGGAATTTGATGAAGTGAGCGGATTTGAGCTCCTCCGGGACCTGCCCCCGCTCCACCTTCCCCATCAGGTCATTGAACACGCCGTGCGTGGCGGCCGCGGAGTCCGCGACTATCACCACGTTCCTCCTGGCGCCGCCGAGCAGGACGTTGACGACGTTAACGTCGTCTTCGGGGAGTTTATAGACTTGGGTTGTTGGGGGGGAGCTCGGGGTGGAATAGATTCCCCCGCCGGAGCTATTGTAGGCCTGGAAAACGGAGGAGACGGTGGAAGAGAGCTCCTCCAAGGTGGCTTTCACGGCGGTGCTAGAGAATCCGGCTTCTCTCATCACCCGGCTCACACTAGGATCATCCAATATAGACAGCACCAGCTGCTCCACCTCCACCTTAATAACCCAATGCGGCTGCTGCTGTTGCTGCTGCTGCTCGATACACCCCCGCCGCTGGTGCGCCTGGGCCCGCTTGAGGGCCGCCACGAGAGCGTTAGACAACGACGGCTGGCCGTGGAGGAGCGGCGCCGGGGAGGCCGGAAGCCGGTTGAGGGCCACATTAAAGCAGAGCTCTAGAGCCCGGCACTGAAGCGGATGCGATGAGGAAGAAGAGTTAACAATGGAGGAGGGCTGGGATTTGAGGCAAGCCCGTTTGAGAAGACTGAATCTAGAGCTCAAAAGGGTGGCCGCCACGTGGAGGGGGGTGATTTGTGCATGGCCCCGTCTCCTCGCTAAGCTTAGAGAGTGCTTCAGCACTGAAGCAGCCTCTGTGGTGAGGGTCTGTTGCACCGCCGCGCAAGCTCCCGTTCGCATAACTTAGCCCCACGCCCCACCTCCCAACACCCCCCCGCTCTGAATCGCTACTGTAACCTATCTTTCTCCGATCTTCTGTGTCTTTATACAATTCTATGAACCTCACAACCACCCAAAGCCCACGCTGCTGCTGTATTATGTGTATGTATCTATCTATATGTGTTTTGAGATGAGATGAAATGGTAGGCTAGTATGATGGCTTTGGGGGCTTTTAAACAAGGATGGTTAATGGTTTGCACACTTTTAATTTATATATATATATATATATATATATATATATATATATATATATATATATATTTAAAAGGTTAAATCTCCAACACTTCGACCTGAGTATTTGAGAAAAAGGTAAATTATGGTAACTCAGCTTAACCCGAGACTAGAAGAATTTATATATATTTATACACTACCACAACTCACAGTTGCATTGGTTGCAGAGTTGATTTTTAGCTTTTTCTTTTTGTAAAGAGTTTTTCTTCTCTCCGGTTTTTATTTTTATTTTATTTTTGGCTAAATGGGTTTGTGACTTTATTGATCTCTTCACTCCTTTTTTGCTTTTTCTTTCTAGTACAAGTTTGTGCTTTATAGACCACTGCCACCCTCTCTCATTCCCTATACCTTTATCATCTATTGACTGATCATAAACTTTTTTGCTGAGGTTGATAGATATATGTAATTTATCCTTCATTAATACTTTATTTTCCAAACTAAGTATTAAATTCAAAATATTTAGATTAAATTACAAGAAAATAATTGAGAGGTTGATAGATATATGTAATTTATCCTTCATTAATACTTTATTTTCCAAACTAAGTATTAAATTCAAAATATTTAGATTAAATTACAAGAAAATAATTGATTAAGCCTTTACGTTATTGGTGTTGTCACATTTAGTCCTGGAGGGTGTGGTTGAGGCTTTGAGAATGGAGCAGCCTTAAATCTCCAGGACAGCTGTCCCACCTAAAAAAGGTCTCTACAATTCAGCGAGGGGATTAGTCACTGTGTCCAATAGTGGAAACCCTGGGTATACTAAAAAAAAACTTGTGTGAGACCGTCGTGTTTGGGTGAAGATAAAATAATGTAATACTTATACTGAAAAATATAATATGTTTATTACTTATATGGGAAAGTGTAATATATATAATAAAGAAAATTATAATACTTTTACATTCTGATTTAAAAGTATTACATTTGTCCTCAAAAGTATTACATTTTCTCTTATAGGTAACAAATGCTTTATTCCTAATTAATATTACATTTTTTATATTGATCCGGCCCGATCCGACTAATCTCAGAAATAAAAATATGTGAGATGGTCTCACACAAGTATAACCTTAACAAATATGTAAACATGGTCTTAACTCTAGTATAGAACCACAATCTCCAACCCAATAACTAAAAAGTGTCATTTTGAGGAAAACTCAAGAACTAAAAGTAACTACACTAATAACTTAAAAATTGAGTGAACTATTTGCCTATAACTTGAGAGATTAAAATTGTCATTTTCTCTTTATTAATAGTCATATTTAATTTATACAAAGAGTATAAATAATAAAGATTATAAGTAATTATTCATAAAATCAACCATCATATATACTTTGTAGTATATTATTATAAACTAATTACCACACGTGTATTGCGCGAATAGTTCAATGCCCAATGTGTATTTTTAAATTAGTGTTTCAGAATTTATCAAATTATCATTCGGTATCCTGGCGTATATCAATGCAAGATTATCAATTTTTTCATAAATGTAAATATTTCAAGAATGCATAACTATGACCTGTGGCAGAAATGTTGGACTAACTAGTGCAATAACAGTTTTAGAAGGAAGCACCCTCATTGTATAGTACCCTAAAAGTATCCATAGTAGTTGAAATTTTGCACAATTTTTAAGAATGACATGTAGCGCGGGAAAGACGCGCCGGTTGGGGCGCGAAGTTGCTGCAAAACGCGCTATTCCGTGCATTTTTTTTCCTCCTGCAAAAAACCTTGTTTTGCAGGAGAAAAAATCAGCCAAAATCCATTGCTCCCATCGGCCAAAAATCCATTGCTACTGTTCCAAAAACCATCTAAAATGCACTACTATGAATGCTCTAAGCGTAGTTTTTGCAACACAAAATCCTACTAATTAGCGTGATCCAGGCTTTTTCTTGTTACCACTTCCTCCGAAAATGAATTCTTGATTTGTTTTAGCCTCCTGGTGTGCTTCAATGCAATTTTAGTGCCTTGGCGCAGTGCACCTTAAAAAACATAACCAAATCCTCATTCTCGAAAAAGACAATGATAATAGGCATAGTTTCTCATCTGTGTTGAATATATATTGTAAATTACGTGTACCATTTCATCAATGTCTAATGCATGATTCTAATTAATTGACCAAAGTTCATGTTAAATTTTATATTATTTATTTTTGAAAACAACCATCAAATCAAACAATTATTGTGAAATCAAATCACAAACACTGCTGGAAATTATGGAATTTTCGACCACCTGAAACTCTGAAAGTGATCTTAAATCAATTTGAAAGCAAAAAATGGTCGGAAATGCCAACAAAGGTTTTTCCGGATACCAAAAGTGGTCGGAACAAGGCTTTCGACTTGATTTTAGATCATTTTTAGGTGGTCGGAAATTCCATAATTTCCTGGCAGTGGAATACAATGAGAGATATTTGCGTCCCACACCTCTCGACCAACTAAGATCTTCCTTATGAAAATCAATGAGTAAGTTAAGAATAATAAATAGTTAACGAAATATTTCGTTACTAAAGTTTACACTGACGGAATGCATGAGTATTTTTTTGAATGCTGCTGACTCTATTACAATGTAGTATCTGTTCATATACTTTCTCAACCTACTGAAACACAAAGAAACTCACAACTTTCCAAATAAAAGTCCAACCCGGGTACCATTAGACCACATGGTCTTGGTGAATGCATGGGTATTTAATAAAAGTAAATGATATAATAGATGGTAAAATAATAAAAATAATTAAAAATACTAAAATAAAAATAATATGAACCATTAATTTCAACAAACAATTACACCAACTTTTTTTTAATTCCTGTTAAGCGCCTAACTTTATTGGCTCTGTTGGCAGATTTGTAGATTCCGTCATAGCTATCAACAATGTTGACGTAAAATATTATTTTAATTTGATAAATGTGAGTAATACAATGCCTGTATTTAGGGTCGGCCCTGGCCACCTGCGACCAGGACAACGACACAGGGCACCTAATTTTTGGGGGGCCCAATTTAAAAAAAAAATAAAAAAATTCATTACTTTTATACTTGATAATTATTATTTTTTAGAATTGATAGATTAATCTTAATTGTAATTGAAAATAAAATTTTAGAAGGAATTGACATAAAAATTATGGTGAATAATTTTATAATTAAATATGCACAGAAAATGACACTTTTAAGTTAAATTTTAATTTTTTTTCTTTGTTGAATTTTTATGCATTATATTTGGACATAAATTTTTTATTTCAATTTTTTTTTTTGTCATAGAATATAATAACTTGATATCCAATTGGATTTGGACTCAATTACTTCAGTTATTGAGATTTTCTAGATCGTCTAGACTTCTATCTTTATCTTTCAGAGGTCTTTTGAGATTATATTGTAACAGAGTCAATGGCACTCAAAAATAAAAAATAAATAGAGATCTCTGTATATCAACGAAATCAAAATGTTAAAAAAATCTCTCCCTCTATGTCTTGTCTCTCTATTATTGTTAGTCTTCCATGTTTTACTCTATTATACTTAAATTGTATCTCAAAACAAAAACGATGAAGATCAAAATTAAACTATTAGATAAGGTCCTACTTTTAATGGAACGGCCCTGCTTGCACTACATCTTAGGCTCTATGAGTTTTGTAAGTAAGGTATTTATAGTTATAGAATTAGGCTACAAATTAAAGGGTAATTTTAAGTATCTTGTGGATCATTCGAAGCATGCATGACATTTTAAATATAAAAAGGGTGCCATCACTAAATAAATAAAAACTCGAACAGAAGGGAAAACAAACATTGGCTTTGTTTAAGTTTAGGATATTATACCCCTTATATTAGATCTAAATAATCTTCTTCTCCTAAAGATCTAAATAATCTAACAATATTGATCTACGAGACGTAGTTGTGGAAGCGGAAACAGTGTTGATCTCCCGCCACAGTTGATGTCTTGTTGTGTCGCCTCTTGAATAATAGACGGTTAGTCATTTTTGTCCACACTTGACTTAGAACCACATATGGTTCAGAACCACATATGATGTATTGATGTCTACTAAACAATATGACTACCGTAACTAAATGTGCTATATAATCAATATCTTGTATCCCATCAATCTAGGTTTATGTTAGGCAGAGTCTGATTGACTAACAATTCCTAGTTATTCAGTCTAACCAAAACTAAATCTAATCAATTAAATTGCATCACTTAATTAAGATCCTAATATATAATGTATAATATATATTATTAGAAAAAATCTTACCCTTTGCAATTTTTTTTTTTTTTTTTTTGTCACCAAAGCCAATACCACTTCATGTTTTTAGGATATATTAAGCAATTGAAATTGTTCACCACTTCAAATGCTTTCTGAAAAATTATTTGGATAAATTATAGTACGTTGAAATTGTTTATTACTTTATTTACAAAACTTTTTTTTTTTTATTTGGCTGATAAGTCATTATCTAAAAACTTCCTTAATATTCATATTACATAATGATATAAATATATTCGGTGAAGTTATACTATATGCTTTGTGAATGATATAAAATATGATAACATAGCTTCCTAAAACACAAAAGTATGTACTTATGACATCGATATATAAATTTTATTTGTTGACATTAAATTAACTAATATAAAAATTAAATAGTAATTAGTTTGAATAAATTTTGATTGAGTTAATACCCAAAATCGTCCTCAACTATAGTGGTTTTTCTCAATTTCGTCCTAAACGACTTTGGTGACCTAATATCGTCCCAGACTTTTGTGTTTCGCTCAATTTAGTCCTAGACTTTTGTGTTTTTACTCAATTTAGTCCCTCATTTGTTATTTTGTCCATTTGGTGTTAAATAAATAGACAATTCAGTAATTTTAATATTGGCATCTCTTTACTCATAGACATGTGAACTGCGAAATCCATTTTTTTTTTTTACGAATTACTCCTAAAACTGCGAATATAAAATTTAATTTGCAGGTCCGGGAGTAATTCTGGGTGT